TGTAAATGTTTATTTACTAAAATAATGACACGTCTACTTTGACTTGTGCCAGCACTGCAAAAAACCTTCCCCACCCATCCTTTACACAATTTATTCGCATCTTTTAAAGACAAGTGGCACTCCTGTAGAAACACAATATCATATCTGACCGATTTCAGACTATGAAGTATCTTATTCCTCTTTTTGGGGTTCCCCAGACCGTTCACATTCCATGTGGCTAGGCGCAAATTACTATCAACCGTAGACATAGTAGTAAAATGTGGACAAATGGGTCAGTGGTACCAGGGCTGTGATATACCTTGGGTGAGCTCTATAAGAACATAACTTTATGAACATAGCTCTTACATTAGAAAATAAAAACTGCGCAAAACTCTGAACACAGCGCATCTTAAAACCCTTCAGGTCCGTGATCTGTCAGTAAAGTAACTCTGACCAACCAGGCCCATTAACAGTGTCTTTATGAAAGCTGCGGCACCTTTAACATGTGACTGAGTTTTTACCTTGTTATCAGATAATCGGCCGGTGAGCTGAGTGGTGTAGAAAAAGAAGAAACAGTTCGATCATACCCCTGTAACAAAAGTTGTCCGTCCCTCACGTTGTAAAGGAAAAGAAAGCCACATCCGTAGAGATGAGTGGTCAGTCAGCTTCTTCGGGTGGCTAGTGCAGCTCGTTCCTGATGAAGTCCATGGCTGTCCTCGGGTTCATGAAGCGGCGCGGTCCCTCTTTTGTGTTGATTTTGAGCGTGGCTGGGTACTGTAGAGCAAACTTCACCCCGCGTTGATGAAGCATCTTTTTGCACTCCCTGAAAGCATCACGTTTGGTTACGGTTCCCCTGGAGAAGTCCGGGAAAATCATGACTCGTTTCCCTTCCCACCGAATTTCGCCTTTCTCCTGGGATGCGCGTAGGATGCGGTCTGACCGCATAAAACTTTTCATCATAAGTCCGGACCCATCTAGTTGGCTCCGGGCAGCGAGGTCCGGGGCCTAATCCTGTGCGCGCGTTCAACTAAACCAGCCCCGTTGACCGGGTGGTAATCTATACAACATGTCAGGCAATACGCAATTTCTCCAGGAAATGCGATTGTGGGTCCCCGCCCTTTTCACAGCAAAGCGCAGATTATTACGCCTGCTCCGGTCTTCCATGTCGTCTATCCTATCACGAAGAGCTTCAAGTTCGGATCCAGTGGCTGGCGGATGAGCCTTCCGCTCGGTTTCTGCATCCCCAAGATAATTGATATCCAGAGTCTCCCTTTCCACGTCGCTGATTCTCGCCTACGAATAGTTGATAGTTTCTCTTCCATTGACGACGTTGCTTTGCGTATTTCTCCCAGGCTTTGCATCTCACCAGAAATATGTTTCAGGACTGTAAAAATACTTGCAATGTCCTCGGCTACGTTTCCTGACGGCTTGTCGCTGTCTTCATTCTGGCACGTTGGTGAGCCGACGCTAGCGCCTTTGCTAGCACTCGCTTGGCCCCCTGCAACGTGCCTTGTGTTTGGTCGATTTGTATTCTTTTGCGTGCCCGACATTGCAGCCAAGTATATCACCTACAGTCTGACTTTTAATTCAAGGAGATATGCCGACTCAGAATGTGAATATCGGATAAAAATAACAGACACTGCGGGGCAGGGCTCGGCTAGGCAGCCATCCGCTTCACCGCGTCACGTGACTCTCCAGAATGAGGAGTTTTTAACACAGCGCTAATGTTGCTGACAGCAACTTAAAAGCTCGGTCAAACCAGCTTTTAAATTAAAATCATTCCAGTGGATTTACTGTGATCAGCAGATTTTTGATGGTACAATGTGAACTTTCTAAATAACTTGCAAGGTAGTTCACTCCATAGAGCTGTTCTGCATAAACAGCACTAGTATATCATGTTAGTGGTTAGCATGGCAGCCACAGAAGTTCACTAACTGGACCTCCCAAGAGTCACCAAACTGATAGCATCACCTGTTTTGCAACAATGCGTCAATTCATTTAGCCATTTTCTGGTGTGACCAGTTGACCTATTACACAATTTTGAGACAGAATGGTTTTAACTTTGGCATAAGAATGGGAATATGCTAATGTTTAGCAGGCATAATGTTCACAATCTTAGTTTAGTGTGTTTGCATGCCCACATTTTCTGATTAGCACTAAGAACAAAGAACTTCAGTTTGCAAAACAGTTGCTGTTGGATGTAAAAAGGCTATAGAGCAAAAATGACAGTTTCTTTAAAGGACCAGTGTGTAGGATTTAGTGGAAGTTGCAGATTGCAACCAACTGAACACTGCTTGGTGTTGGTACTTGACGACCTGGGTATGGGAACTGGCTGTCAAAAAGTGTAGTACCAGTTTTTTCAATTGTCCGTTTTTGGGCTATTGTAAACGTAGCAGTTTAACAGGGTGAACTCCATAGAAGAGGACCCGCTCCCTCTGTAGATAAAAATGTTGTCATTGTCAATTCTAAGGTAACAAAAATATAACGGTTCTTATTTTTAGGTGATTATACACTAATGAAAACAGACCTATGAATATTATATTCCATTTCTTCCAACAGATCACACTGTTACACACTGGACCTTTAAAGTTTGGGTTAGGTAGAACTGGAATACCAACATGCAAATGCTGTTAAAACTATGTTTATTTATGACCAAAAAGATTTTTACCTTTCCAAATTAATCTGATGATGTCTGAAAGTGTCTGTTTTAACTCACAAATCACCAAATCAGTGCTTAATAAGACTCACACAGAACCTGACCAAAACTTCTTACACTGTATAGGTGGTATTTAAGATAGTGGTTAAGATACTTTAAAGATGAGGGGAAAAATAAGAGGAGAAAATAAGAAGAAAGTCTAAAGTCATTTGTGTATTCTGAATTCAGTGATTGGGAGGAAGAGATGAGGGGCGGTTTTGTCCCAGCATCAGAGGCCAGTATTTACCCTGACACCATAACTCCTGGGCTTAAATTAATCATGCAGACATCCAGTGAAACTTGATCTGCAGTCGTCACTGTCAGGGCTAATTGTGTTACGGAAAATAAGGCATAGTGTGTGAGTGTAGGGCCGTGTTAGCTGTGACAGGATTAATATTGTTGTGTCTGTGTTAGCGTGCGTCCGTCTGTCAGCACGCTCCACCATGTGCCGGCTAATCTGCAGCGTTCTGTTCATCCGTCCTCAGTTATTCGCACTGATCTCCAGGATTCAAACGTATAGTCGAGCTGCTTCTAATCAACATTCTCAGGCTACTATGTGATGACAGACAGATGAGCTGTAAACATAACCGAGGCATTTTCTCTAACTAATCAAGTTATGAAGCAGAGATGGGGACAAGGGCTAAGGACAGTAAAAAAAAGTTTGCTTTTAATATTCTTTTCTTTTCCTTTCTGACCTTTTTGGACTCTATAGTTCAACCATAACTTTGTTTTAAATTTGAATAAAGTCTCTAAAGAGGCTGATATTTGGAGAAATGTGTCTAAAATGATGCACATACAGAACTACCTGTTTTGATTACATTAATTTTGATTAAATGGTGCAGTCATAAAGGTTTGGGTTTGAATATTTCACTCCATGTAAACACCCTACAGCTTCAATAAAGAGCTGGAACAACATTATACAGAGGAAACTGATGGGTGACAAATTACAGGAAAAGCCAGAATTAAGGTTTTTAAGGTATTGGAACATCACAAGCCTCCAGAACAGCTGCAATGCTTGGCATACATTTTCCCTTTATGAATCTAAGCGTCTATGCCAAGTCTCTGAAGTGGTCTACTGGAGGGATGAGCATCATCCATCCAAAGGATATTCCCTCATTTGGGGTGTTGTTGATGATGGTAGTCCAAAATTTACCATTGGTGCTCAGTTTGGACAAGATCTGGCGACTGCATAGGCCATAGGAAACGATTTTCAGGCTTATCAGTGACCCCTTTTTTACTTGTATTAGTTGCATTTCTCTTTCATTTATTCAGTTTTTCCTTTGTCATCCATCTGTATATGATACTGTCAGACACAGCGGAGAAACATAATTCTTCTAACTTTACAGCTGCTAGTAAACTCGACAGCTGTAATCCCCTGAACATAAAAATCATCAGTAACAGATCATTTAATCTCTCTTTCTGTGTGACAAGTTGCCAAATTTGATTCTTTAACTTGAAACACATGAAGGCTGTAAGTCATGGTTGGACGCACAATGTAATATACAAACTAGTTTGTTACTTCATGCCCATTATTGCTTATTTTATTTTTTTGGGGCTACTTTCCCTTTATTTTGACAGGAGAGCTTGAAAGATGGACAGGAAAGGGGGATGACATGCAGCAAAGAGCCACAAGTCAGATTCAAACCCATGTCCGCTGCAGCAGGGACCAAATGTCCAGGCAGCATTCACTGTACTTTGTCCCATACTACAAAAGAAAGATGATACCCAGCACACGCAAGCATGTGTGAGCAAGTTTCATGGCAAAAGAGGCACACAGAAAGCGGACAGATAAGATGCGGGTTTCAGGTGAACACCAAGACATTGTAATAACACTCACATAACAATAATGTGGGCAGCATGTTGGGTGTTGTATTGAAGTTCACTGTTTCAGTTTGTCCAGCGCAACAACAAAGTTTGTAGAACTTGCCAGCAGCCAACCTCCATATGACTTGCAGTTGTCTCACACACGCACACCCACACACACTCTTTCTCTCTCACACTCACTCCCCACTCCTCCAAAGTGTGAGTGTGGGTTTTTCCCATGTGTATGTAGCTTAGAGAGATGGATGCATTTAAACCTTTTCAACACCTTTTCTTGAATGCTTCTCAGATGCACTTTCCTGCAGCCTTTTTTGATACCCGATAGCTCAAGAGCCACTCACTTCCACCCAAGAGGCATGAAATATGAACGGGGGACCAAGATGTCTAAAACAAACCTATCGAGCTAAATTTAGCTGTAATTGTAACCAACAAGACATGCAACTGACTACTTCCAGAACTACAGATTTCAGGTGGAGTATGTCCTTTTAATAGCTTTGCTGCTGACCGTGTCAGAGAGCTGCTCCTCATGCGGTTCTCCTCCTCGTCCATCTGCTCGCTGTGCTGAACGATCCTCTGCTCCCAGAACGACTTCAGCTTGTGTTTGTCATGAATCCGAGCCGCATTCATCACCTGACGACAGGAAACAAGCTGCAGTCACACAAACCCTCGTTGCAGACTCTAAAAGTTGTCCCATTGTTCCAGAAACACTGATAAACTTACTGCTGCTTTCCAGCTTCACTCTTCTTTCTCCTTTTATCCTTTTTTTACTCTCTCTTCTCTTCTTCTCTCAGTCTTCAATTTCACTTACCAGAAATTCCTCATTATTCTTATTCTTCTCTTGCCTCTCTTTCTTTCTTTTTTACATCTCTCTGTCTCTTGTCTCCTCCTGTCCTCTTCTCTCTTTCCTTCCTCATTTATCTCCTCTTTTAACTCCTCCCCTGTTCTCCACCTTTCTGTGTTATTGTCAATTTTTCCGCTCCAACCTTCATTCCTTTTTCTTTTCTATTTTTGGTGTTTGCCTTCTATCCTCCTGTACTCTCCTCTCTTGATTTTTCCTCTCTTCCTTCCTTTCACATTTTCTTTTCTGTTCTCTTTTTATTGTGTATTTCCTTCTCTTGTATGTTCTCTCTTTTCTTTGAATGTTATACTTTCTCTGTAACATTTCTTCCCTTCTTGTTTTGCCCCTGTGTGCCAGTTTTGGGATGGTGTTGGTTTGTTATGTGAGATCAGAATATGAGTGACTAGGACTGACTTGTCTCAAGGGCATGCTTTTGATTTGAGCTGTAATATTTAAAGGGGAACTCGATTTCACATTTGAAGATTAGTTAACCATTAGAGGAATTAGGACTCAGTGCTGAAGAGAGTTTTCCAAAGTCTTCAGGGTTCTTAAAGTCTCAATAACCCTGATGTTGTCATAGCTCTGGCTTGGAGACTACAAATCTAGGACAAAAAGCCTGTGTTAAAAACTGGGGTGAGCAGTTTGATCAGTGGGTAATTACAAGGCACGGGATGTCTAACGAAAGCAAGTGTGAATCTATCGCTCCATCACTCATTGGTTTGTGGAATTTATGAGTTGACATTCTGAATCAATCAATCAACACACCTTTATTGTCAATAAGACAACTTTGACCATTCCATTTTTTTCTATTGGCTCTCTTGCATGGCATATGCTTTAGTGATTAGATCTTCAAACGTTTTTGAAAAATGTATATGAATTTCAACGCATTATTTCAATGTAAACACTCACTTGTTCCAGTGCCAGCCTCACCTATTTTACCATCCTCCTCTTATCCACTAACATGACATCTGGTTTGCTGTCTAGCGTCTACCTGATTCCATTTGAATGCAGCATTATGCAGTGAAATCACTGAAGTACCCCTGTAAATGTAGCTGAGAGACCGCTTAACATACTGATAGTACAGCTCCCCCAGTAAGAAGGCAACAAATTTCCTCTGTTTTTCTTCTGCTCCTGTATGGCTTTTCAATCTAAGTTTCAACTAGGTAACTTTAGGATGAAGCCCTCGCTCTTTGATTCAGTGAGTCATGAAAATACCTGACACTTACTAGTGATGGTTTAGATTCATTCAACACCTTTTAATAAATGCAGCACCAGGAGGATGTTTCTGTCTTCTTCTCTTGAGAGGCCATTTTGGTTTTTACCATTTCTATTCATCTGTCCACAGTAGTATTATTACGCATACGCACATACAGAATACATAAAGACACAGACATCCCATGGCTTAACCAAACGGCACCAGGATCTTAACCACAGCTTAGTCGTCTCTACACTTTACACTCCCAGTGTATTTGTGTGTGTATGTGTGTGTGTGTGTGTGTGTAACTTTAAGAGAGCAGCAAACATTCATAATTAACATTATTATTAAAACCAGTTACATTTGCACTGGATCAATAAATGAGACAGAGCTCATGATGTGAACAACAACAATTCAATTCAATTCAATTCAATTTTATTTGTATAGCGGCAATTCATAATAGAAGCTATACCACTTTTCAAATAAGAGCAGGTCTAGACCGAACCTCCTTTTAACATTTAACAGAGAACCCCAACAAGTACCAACCATGAGCAAGCACTTTGGCCCGACCAAGGAAAAAACTGCCTTTTACCACAGGCCCCAGAAACCTAAGGACAGATCCTTCCGCTCACACTAGGTGGTGGTCCATCTTCTCCGACCAGTTGGGGTGAGCGAAGAGAAAAGAGAGAAGAGAGAGACCAGCACCAGACAGACAGAAGCAGGTGGCAATAGCCAACAAAACAGTATTGTAATGGCAATCCAAAGGCAGGACCGAATGGCAGGAGGCCCTCCACCCCCAAAAAGGAATCGATTAAAGAACACTGGCCAAGAACGATAAAGCCACAAGAAACTCCGGGACAGAAGTGAAAAGTTACGTAACATTGCCATTAATGGGACACTGAACTAGTGCAAGAAAGAGAGAGGAAGAGAGGAGCCTCAGTGCCACCATGGGAAATCCCCCCCCGAATAGTCTAGGCCCTATACACACATAAAAACTAAAGAGATGGTTCCAGGACTCCCACCCTGACGCCGCCAAGTAAAAAACCTAAACATAAGCTTTAATCAACAGAGGAAAAACGTCCTTAAGCCTAGCCTACTCTTAAATTGGAGAGGAGTGTCTGCCTCACCGAACCCACAACTGGAAAGCTGGTTCCCAACAGGAGGAGGCTTTCGGTAACTGCAACGGCATCCTAGGCTAAACTGTTCTAACTTTTAGCAAGAACATGTAAGGAAACCACAAAGTAAGCCCAAGCCCATTCCAGAGAATGTACGTGCTCATAGAGAGTAATAGTACTATGAGCCTCTTCCAAGAAAGAAACGGGCCCTGACCCATCCGAAGAGCTTTTATAGTGGGGAAAGGAGAATTTTAAATTTCTATTCTAAATTTTTACACGTGGACGCCCCAAATGCAGAGACCAGCTATAAACCAGAGAGAACGATGTGATCCTCCTTTTCCTAGTTCCTGTCCAGTACCGTCGCTGCCAGCCGCTATTTGGATTAATTGGAGTGTTTTAAATGACTTATAGGGGCAAACCACTCGATTAAAATAAAGAGCTTATAATCCCAGCCTAAGAAGTAACAAAAATGCATGGATTAGTTTTTCTGCCATCCCCTGTCTGTGACCAAAGGAATATGTCTAATTTCTTGTAATATTACTAAATGAAAAGAAAGGCAGTCCATAGAAGATCCTGCATTTATAACTGGGAGTTAAATGACCAAATCCTAACTCCAAGATCAAAAAAAAACTCCAAAGATTCCTGCCACCACGTGGATGCTCAGAAGGCTAAGTACCTGCCATACAATAGAGTAACATATCATCTTACAACGTAGAGTCTCAAAGATTTGTACGGCAACAAGTACAGAAATTATCAGAAATTTTATTCCTGAAGTTTAAACATCAGAATAATTGCAAGCTCATAACACACAGGTAATTATATGTCCTTAAACGAAAATGTCTTTAAAATTTAAGAATACACTGATTAAATTTCATCCAGGCCCTTTGATTGATAAAGATAATACAACTGGCGTATCATTCTGCATACACCACCACCCGTACACACCAGTCAATGGAGTCGATTCCGCTAATAAATCGTTGCCCTAAAAAAGGGAGCACATATAAACACCTTTACATAGACCATTGGTCCACACCGTACCAAACGACAAAACCAAACCTTGTGGAAACTCACATGAAACTTCATCTAAACTATTTATTAAAAAAAGATTCATCAATTCCTAACCATGAAACAAACGACTTACTCGATACAGATCATGACTCTAAACCCACGGCCTGCAGTGGGCGGTCTCCTTTAAAATGCCAAATCTATGAATGCTCCAAGTCCTCGTAAAAAAATATTATCGGTCAACTGCTGAGAGTCCCAAAATGCCAGGCAAACTAAAAGATCTAATAACTACCAAGTACAGAACAGACAAGATCCCATTGTCAGCATAGCCAAATCAAACAAGGTCATCTACTAAACGTTTAGCCCCCAGAGCTGCTCCCCTCTGTGCCTGTGATGAACTCAAATAAAATCCTGACGCTGAAAATCCTCATATAAATTATTGCTATGTAAAAAGTCACACAACTGTTTGGCGACTACTTTCTCCAGAATCCAGAATCAACACAGGTCACAGATCAGTACGTCACGAACACAACAGTGAAAGACATTGTGGAAACACCATTTTAATTTCCCACAGTGCTGTTCATCATGCAGTAAAAAGCCCTAATATGTTATCTATAATTACAGAGTTGGACTCAAATAGAAAATTCATATTTGTTTCTGTTTGTCACCAAAACATAATTGAGAGACTACAGTATCAGTCTGTATTTTCTGGTGGTGATATTTGACTTTAATGCATCCAGACGCATCCTGTCATAGAGGCCTGTTCTCATTCCCAGGTCATCAAATACCAACATTTTGTCACCCTTCAGTGTCTCATGCAGACACACAATGTTCCCTTTAGTATCTGTATGAGACACACCTAGCTTAGATCTAACTCCAATGTAACCTATCTGTGTTCTTTGCCTGTATAAAACCTACCAGGTCGCCCACATGTGTGAGGTCTAAGCTGCTTAGATTGCCTACACAAATAGAAACGTTTAAACATAGATTTGTTCAGATTAGATCAGTTAGATTCTCCACAAGTCAATCGTTCAGATTATTTTACAGAAACCATGAGCACCAAAGGATCAAATGATCAAATGAGTGATTCGTAATTGAATTAAAGTAATATTCATACTGATTTAAATAAACAATTTGATATTTTTTCCATCTGTCCTGAGTTTTGTGCAAAAGGAATTAAAGGCCTGCCCCATATATAGGCCTGTTCCAAATAAAGGAAGGTTGAGTTCAGCGATTGAAGCAAATAAAAGCCCAGGACATTAATAGAAGTTTTACGGTTTTCAATGACTGTAGGTTTTCAGTCTGGAAACCAACCAATCCTAGAAATTACTACTACTTATACTACTAATGTGCAACAGCAAATATGTCTTTGCGAGAAACATAATGGCACCCAAATTATCGACAATGTATTTTAATTGTTTCCCCTATAATATCCCCTCCTGCATTATAATATGAGTTGTTACCATGAGGAGGTACCGGTAACCAACCTTTACCTTCCAGTATCGCTCTGTTAAACAAATAATTGAGATATGATGGTTAAGCCATTTACATCATGCTGTTTTATTCTGTCCTTAATTGTTATGTTTCTTGTTGTTGTTGCCACAGACACAAAATTAATTTCTGAAACTTTAACAAACAAAACTAACATTTAACTCAGAACACAAATGTCTCGGATGCAAGCCCTGGTCTCTGGAGTGAAGGTCCTGCACTTTGTACGCCCACCATCCACCTCAACAAATACATACTATATTCATTAGGATACATTTTGCAACTGAACATAATCCAGGCAGCAATTACATTTTCTTCAAAACTCATTTGGCATCACTAACTAGTGACATGTAAAAATAATTTCTAGGAGACAGGGTTTGGTTTTTGTTACTTTTATTCTCACATGGCTCCGCTCTCTCGCTCTCTCGCTCTCTCGCTCTCATTAACACCACAGCTGCTAGAGTTAAACTGAATGTTAATGCCACAGTATTGACACACACCGAGTGTGTGTGTTCCCCAAGCTACTATATACTCTAATAGCAATATCATCTAATGTCATAGCTATGACATGATGCACACATGGTCCCTGTGTGTGTGTGTGTGTGTGTGTGTGTGTATGTGTGTGTGTTCTTTTCCTATTCTATGGAAGCCCATTTCCACCAGAAGTTTTAAAACAAATGGATGCTGAAATGTAAGAAAGGACAAAAATAGACTTAAATCTAAATTCTGATTTAGTATCTTATAACTGTAACATGACTTAGTAACTCGTAATTTTGACTTCTGTGCAGATCAACAGCTGAAAACACACTAAAAGTTAGTGTTCAGACAAAAAGCTGAGAGCTTGATGATAAAATGAAACATGGTGACTCATCCTTTAACAGGTATGATTACAAAAAAAAAATGTAGTATTTTATATTAGTTCATTGTGTATTCCTCCCTGTGTGTGTGTGTGTGTGTGAATAACGTTTTAATGTGCGTCTTCTTGAGGCTGCTGACAAAATCCCTCGACAGGGAGTCAGATGGAAGGCATTACAAAACTTTGATATCATGCCACACACACACACACACACACACACATACACACACACACCAATGACTTTTATTCAAATCCATCCAAACAGCTGATCAGCACCACAGTGCGAACTTCCCTGCTGGGATTAAAACAGCTGACAATAGCGTGTCTGTGTGTGGGGAGTTAATAAAACAGGATGTTATTAAAGGACTATTGCACTGGTTTTATATTTACTTGTTAAAGGTCCAGTGTGTAACATTGAGGAGGATTTATTGGCAGAAATGGAATATAATATTAATAGGTATGTTTTCATTATTGTATAATCAGCTGAAAATAGGAATCATTGTGTTTTTGTTACTTTAGAATGAGCCTTTTATCTACAGACACCACCTGTCCACCACTAGCAACTAAATCCTACACACCGGACCTTTAAAGTGATTTCCAGCCCCAAAACTTTCAAGTTTTAAGTTTCAAACATTCTCTGAAAATGAAAATGTTCTCCAACAGAACAAATGTTGAGGATGACTAATTTTCACTCCTGCCGCCAAAAAAGAATTGTCTATTATTATTTTTAAGCTATATAACACATCACATTTGGCATAAACAGCATTATTAATCTTGAAACCTGTTGGTCGGCCAGTGTGACAACCAATGTGTCCTGTTGCAGACATATTGTGGTATATATTAGTGTAACTGCAAAGTTACTCCAGCAGAGGGCGCTGTGATTTAAATTACACAGATTTACACACTTGCTCTTTTTTCTCTCAACTGACCTATATGAACTATCTGAAGTGATAAAATGTATCTATGCTCTGTTTTCTTATTAATCATTGCTGTTACAAAGAGAATTATTTTATTTTATGTCACTGACACCGTGGATACAAGTGCACTTTTTACAATGTAAATAGACATGAGGAAGAATCACTGTAAATATTTGATCGTATTCATGCTGAATCCATCATGCACTAATTTCTTTATGCTTGTGTCCCCTTAACTTATCTTCATACCTTTCCAAAATCTCTTCTCTTTGTTAGAAAGTGTGTCTCTGCTAGTGACTCCTAACCAGAGGTGGCAAAAATACACACATTCTTCATACAAGTAGAAGTAGATATACTTCTACTCCAGTACTGATTCAACTTCTTTATTCAAATAAAAATGAAGTGAGTATAAAAGTAAATGGTACTGTCTTGGTTTCTCTGAAGGACATTTCTACCCGCTGTTTCTGTGCAAAGCTAACTGAAACTTCAAATATAGTCTCCCTCTATTGTCTGTTTTGAATTGTTTTGTCTTTTACGTATGTTTTTTATGTTTTTTTCATCATATTACATCTATCATGCTTAATTTGCACTGGTACTGATGTCGATTAATGCAAAAATAAATAGTCTATTAAACTGTAAAATAAAGGGAATATAAAGTACAGATATTTGTTTAAAAATGTTAGGATATAGTAAAAAGTCAGAAGTAAGACGTGGTACTTATTTACACATAATTTCAAGTTTGTGCCTGGGTTGGTACTCACAGGTACCGCCACTGATTTTTGTCCACGAGCACCCTTTCTTATTTCATAAGCCACCTCCTGATGAGTCTAGGTGCACAGCCCTAAACACCTGTTTAACACTTGACTATTAACACTACACCCTACTTTAGCTAATGTTTGTTGTATTCATTGGTTTATTTGGTTTTTAGCCAGGAGTCTCATAGAAAAGAGCCAGGGTCTAGGTTAACACTGAGAATACAGCATTGAAAATGGATAGAAATTAGGGTAAAGGTACTGTATGTTGTGGTTAGGGGTAGTGGTAGGGTGGTCCTAAATTTGGGTACTGGCAATTTTTTTTTATCCCGTTCAGGCACTGGATTAGGGTTAGGGTAAAGGCTGGGGAATGCCTGAAACAATGTCCTCGAGGTTCCCTCGTTCTGATTGCTGCTATCAGGCAGTGAAGTGGAGAGATAAGAAACACACACGCTCTCACACAGTTTCTTCCTCATTCGATGTATCTCTTCACTCTCTCTCTTCCAGTTTGTTTGCTTTGCTAAACACAACAAAATCCCTTTGCTGAACTGCAGCAGATGGAGTTTGATGTCTGCCTTTTCTCTAACTGGGTTCATTAGTGGTGACAACAGTTGAGCACTGAAGCATGCAAAGATGTCGCTGAAGTCACAAGAGTACGTGGAAACGTGGGTTAAAATCATTTCACATTTCTCATTTCTTATTCACAACCACTTTAATCCCTTTAAATCTGCTCCCATCTCCTGCTGCTCCTCCTCTGTTCAGACTCCAGGAGCTCCCTCATCTCTACCTGCAGCTTCTTAAATCTCCTCCAATCCTTTTAACATCTTCTTCAGGAGGTCAAAAGACACAATATTCTGGAACTGAATTACTGGATTTCATAAAGCTGCAGTAGGTCATTTTTATAAAAAACATTATTTGTCATATTTGCTGAAACTTTCACTATATCCTGACAGTAGTTAATGAGACAGATAATCTCCTCCTACTGCTCCTAATGGTATTCACAAGAACCCACCGGGCCTGAACGAAAACAACCAATCAGAACCAAGAAAGATAGTTGACTGTTAGGTCTCATTCCCAGGGTGTCAAATACAGATTCTGGGACCTAGAAATGAGACTCAGCAATCAACTTCAAGCCACCAACCAAAAGCGTCTTTATGTCTTTCTCAGCTCTGATTGCTTTTCGTCCAAGCCCAGTGCATTGTTACAAATGTTATTAGGAGCATTAGGAGGAGCCAGAGGAACCTGATTCTTTCACAGATTAAGTTTCAACAAATGTGATTATTTGTTGAAACTTAAATCTTCCACCGACAGAGTACCGGCTCCGTTCTGGTTCGGGAACCTAGTCTTTTGGAGCATTTCAACCAAAATTTTATTGATTCGGAACGAAAAAGTTGGTTCCTAGTTGAAACGAAATATACCAGGATTTCCATAGGGACCAAAGTGGGCGTGTCATATTCTACAGATCGTTTTGCATTGTGATTACAAGGGTTCCACTCAAAAGTGCAGCAACGGTTTAAGAATCTTGAATGGAACCAGGGATAATTTGGTGGAATGTTGTTATGACAGATAGAATGCTGGACAAACTATGAACATGAGATAAAATTATGTAATAATCAAGAATTGTTCTTTAAGGTTATTTTAAGGTTTGTAATTTTATTCAGCCTGTTAAGTTTAGAGCTGTGAGCTGTAGCAGCTGGCAGGCCGACAGACTGCAGAAGAGCTGATGTGTTTGTTTAAGATAAGAAAGCAGCTGATAATCAATACAAACCTCATCAATAAACTCTGGAGATAAGAGACAGGGAGAGCTCCCACTGAAAATACCTACAGATAACGGAGAGAGAGTTTTAAGGGAAGAAAGATTCTGTTTGATATTTAAAGATGTTTTGTTTAATATTTACTTTGAATAACTATTTGATAGTATAATTTTGATGGGTTTTTCATATCTATATATAAATCTTTACTCTTATGTTACTTCTAGTGTTATATTTCTTTTAATGATGTTAACACATGTTTTTCTAGAGACAACATACTTCCTGTTTCTCATAACACAAACATAACTTGTGCAACTTTGTAAACACATAATCAATACATGTTTATTCAAAGAGACAAAATGTCCCATAAGCTCATAGTTTGTGCAAACAGACAGAAGACACAAATTTAAAAACGAGAAACTCTGCATCTTCTTTTACAAAGAAAAAAAATCACATTGAGCCACAGATCCTAAAATGACAAAAAAAAACATACATTTCATAAAAATCTTATGTACAGCTTCCTTCACATACATTTTGTTCTTCAAGACATCGTAGACACACAGACGACCTTCCACTGGAAGGATAAGCTTTAGGAATCAGAGACACACACACTCGCTGCTGCGTTCACTGTTAAACTGCTGATTCACTTTTTTAGAGGGACTGCGCATGACGTTATAAATAGATAAATACCCTGCTGTAATCATTATTATTTCGCATCTGTTGCCTTCTATGGTTTTAATTAAAATCCACATTGTAATATTTTTAAGTCAATACTGAATCCTCAAATGTTCAAATCTGTCAATGGAGTGATCGATTTTAAATATATTTACACTCATTTCTCAAAATGTCTTAAAACAAGTGGAACTGAATTGGGGGAATGTAGTTAGTTCAGATGTACTACCAGAATTGTTTTCATTCTTTGAAGAAACTGGTCAACTGTGTGTACTGAACTCATGAAATGTAAGTGGTGTATTATCATTTAACCTACAGTCCTCAAAAGGTTTAATTGCTGCCATTTCATAGGCAACAATGAATAGCTCAGTTTAGTGCCAAAGACCACCAGTATGTCCCCATAAACTATAACATCACAGTAGGTCCCCCTAAACCACAACCCAGTCCAACTGCAGAGTTTAAAAGTCAAGAAATTTTGTTTTTAAAGACTGTAAGCATGTACCATGTCTTCACAACTCCTGATTTCCAGTTTTGAACCAATATTTGACTCCTTCACTACTGTAGCATTTGGACAAAATACAATAAATATTTTTTAAAGCTTATCAAGATCTGATTGTATCTGGAAACGGATCTTTAGTCATGAAGCAGCAGCATGAGAAATCTTAGCATAGTTTTTCACATAAATTGTGGTGTTTGTGTCCAGCATCCACTTTGGAAAAAAACATCAGAGGAGGAGGAGAAGCAGAGGAAGAAACAGTGTCAGATACAGGAAACAGCCGGTCCGAACTGTCCTGACAGCCGACGAACGATACCAACGCACCTCCTCCGAGTCATCTGGGAAGTAGAGAAAGACAGAAACTAATGAAGAACTGGACTAATCATTCAGTGCAGAACGTAGTAGTAGTAGTAGTATTTGTATGATATATATAGTGCTTAGCTTTCTTTTCAAACTCTTCATTTTTAATATAGTAGATACACATAATGTGTACAGTATTCAGATTTTGAAGGTTACTTGTCTATACTCTATACTGCATCCGTTATTGTACTTCCTTTTGCTGCATTGACATTTCACTGTCCCTCAATATCTCATCTCATCTTAACTTGCACTTCTGCTGTTGCTAAGATACAGTATGAATGTCTTCCAGGTGAGATAGTTTGAAAATGCATGCTGTTATCCCAGTATTTAAACAATATTGTGTCTCCTCCTACTCTACTGCTAAACTGAAATTTTGCTGCCTGCCCTTGAGGACCACCCCTTTGTGAGTTGTGTGAGTTCTCTCTCCAGATTGGATAAAGTGGGAACGGGATACCAGGAAATGTACGTAGACCCATGTTACTGACTGAAGACTCGATAGACTAGATGAAGTTGTTCTTATTTTACCAAAAAATATCACTTAAAGTAACTTTAATGTGGAAGCCCTCTGTGTCGTTTTTCTGGGATGTATGGGAAGGAGTTAAAGGTCGAGTGTTTTGCATTTTGGAAGAAAAGCCTTGAACTGTAAAGGAGTAGGCAGGGCTTGTGGGTATTCTAAGGTGTGTTCACACTCAGAGGGAGTTTACTGCGAATGGTGGCTTTTGACAGTCTGACTGCCGGGCGTCGGCAGCTCGTCAACACCTCTTCTGTTCATTTTAATGAAAACGGCACAGCTGGTGAATGGACAGCGTGGAAAGCTACCAGCTCACATTGAGAGACTCTGACACAATCTGTGCAGGTCCACAGGGATGAGTTTTTGTTATACATGCTGATAACAAAAACCTTGCCAGCCCTGAACATTGCCTGAAGTTTCAAGTCCCTGATGTTTGATTTTCATTTGGGAAATATAAATCAACCTAACGCTGGTGGATGATTTGGAAAATATGCAACTGATGCAGGAAACAGCAGAAAGTGTAAACTAAAGTGTATCTTACCGCAGTCTTTATGGAAGACGTGGGGGAAGCAGTGTAGGACACCGTAACCACAGCGACAGTAGGAGCATCCTTTCTGAACCCACTCGCCATGAGGAATGGAACCACAGCTCCTACAGACAGACAGACAGAGTGTGAACTATTAAACTAAAGACAACAATAACTGCTAGTTTGAGGGACTGACTCTGATTTATAGAAGATAAGACTTTGTTGGAAAGCGGCAGAGTGTTGTTGTTTTCTCGTTGTTTACCTGATTCGCTGGTCGTACTCGCAGCTCCTCCCCGTGAAGAATGGAGGGCACGCACAGAAGCTGCCCAGGATGCAAGTTCCTCCGTTCTTACAGCAGCTCCGACTCTGCTCAGCACCTACGAGATAAAATATAGACATCAGAGCTGCAACCCACAACACCTCAAACTCACCGTCCAAATCAATGTCCTTCAAATAACTGTGCTTAGACAGGAAACATCCTTTACTTTCACACCGTTTAAAGAATTTCCTGTGACTGATTATTGGAGTTGACATGGCCACTTAACTCCAGATTGCAGTGTCAAATCTCACTGCACTTTTAAACCATTTTGCCTTTTGCATCCAACTCAAATGAATGCTTACACATTTCAGACATGAAGTCTAATTTGGACGAATAAAATCAACCAATAAAAAGATTTCTGCAGGTTTCAGTGGGTTAAATTTAAGAAGTTTTCCCCCAACACACATTTGAAAGCAAACTGAAAAATGCAACTTTATATGTAACTTGATTCATTATTCATCAGTAATCTAATCATATTTAAGACATTTTTTATAAATTTAGTAATTGTCCTTGTGTCAAATTCTTCCTGTTTTTGAGGCGTTTACACTTTTTATTCTATTTTTTTGTTTAGCTTAGTAATTTAGTCAAGCATCATATAACCTTGTGTGGAACACTGTAGTGTAAATTAGATCTTGCTATAATCTATATGGGCTCTCTCTGCCTCTATCTGTATCTGTGAGATAAACCAGAGTCTCCATCTGGCAGCACATTCCTGCCATCCTCCACTTCACATCAGCAGACAAACACTGAGATTCAGAACAAACATCTGAAAATAACAGAAAAACACTAAAACTGACTAACGGTGGCCTGAAATATCCAGAGACTCTCCGTCAGACTGTCACACCTCTTCCGTTTCTGAGTTTCTTGTTTGAGAGACACGAAAAACAAGTTTTTTTATTTTGGAGCAAAACAAATTCACATTTAACTAAGAATTAGAATATTTAATGTTATATTTAATATCTTTTTTTGAAAAGACACAGAATAATCCTAAAAATAATTACGCTAATAAAAAAATCTGACACTTTTTTAAACTTTTGCAGTTTTAGGGGAAATGAACGGGGATGTGCGGGGAAAATATTTCAATATTGGTCTAAATCAACTTATTATACGGTATATTGTTATTGTTAATTTAGTTTCATTCTGTTCATTTTCATGTACATATTCCACGCTTCCTTCTTTTGAAACACAGTTTCACCCCCATACCGAGAAAATTCTGCATGTGCACATTTCGGGGCTCACCACCTGTGTGTGCACACAGTGGCTGGGTGTGAACTTACTGCCTGTGAGGCCGATGAAGGGCAGGACGGCACTGGCGTCACGGTGTTTACGGTCCCCGCTGTTTGATGAGCTCACTCGGGTAAACTGAGCCAGGAAGTCCTCTGACGGCTGCTGGGATTTCACCACCAGAGAGGGTGAGATAGAAGAGGAGGAGGGGGGCGATGAATAGGAGGTCTGGTCTGTGCTGCACTCATCTCCTTCACAGCCTGAAAAGGAAAAAAAGGTAAAGTCAGAATCTGGAAAACCATCACTGTGTGAGAACACGTCTGCTGCCCTCTCTTTACTCTGCTCACCTGCAACTGTACCAGTAGTTTTGTATGTTTTGGCCCATTTACTACAACTATCTAATACCTCACACCACAGCTTACTATTCATGCTGTTGTGTTCAACTGTTTGATTTAAACTTAGACTTTTTATACATTGTCATGTAAGTCAATGAGTAGACTTTTGTGAGCAAGTCTGTGTTATATTGCATCAAGGTGACATAATTGTTGCAGTGCAAATCATTCTGCACACTACTTACACTACACTACTGTAAGTCACTAAATGGATCACAGAACATTACTCTCTTCATTTCCATGTTCGGATAAAAGACAACAATGGCCCACAAATGACTGCAAATTATCTTATAATTTACAACATTTTTTAATTATGAGGACTGAATTATGTAATCTTACTACTTACTTACTATCCTACTGAAATAATGTGACAAAAACAAAACAGCTCACATGAACTCAAATATATTCAAATGTTTCTCAAACACAAAAGAAATCCGGATCAGCAGTGAGAACAGAACTGTGTTGTATTTGTTGTTGCACTACAAGTCTCCTTTTTTAGTTCTTCTACTTAATTTTAAGTTTATTATAATTATTATTATTTACTTTTTACCTTACTAATCTGTATATACGTAATTTTACACTTGCTTTGACAGTAAGTAAGTCAGTAAACGTCTGATTCCATGCCAATAAAGGCTCTTTGCATTGAACTGAATTGTGTGAAACAGACCTGAAGAAGGCAGAGCATCAGCAGAGAAACAGATCACTGCGCACAACGCGATCCTGCAACATCCAAACAGATAAAACACACTTTATTATCAGGGACACTCAAAACTTAAAACTTAAAAAAAAAACATGATATTAGTCTCATTTAGATCCATCTGATCCTCAGACTCACCTGAGCAGCTGCGTCCGACTCATTGTACCTTTTCCTTCACAGTAAAAGTAGCAGTAAAGTAGTCCTGGATAAACACAACCAAAACTACCAAATATTTCCAAAACGATACAAACGCAGACTCGTCAGTGTTTGCTGTTTCCTGTCAGGGGAAGGTCAAAGTGTCCATAAATAAAGTTCTCATCCGGAGTGAGCTCACTTTAACCCTTCAGTGATAAAAAAAAGAGACTGAAAAAAGCTTCATGAAACGCAAACACATGAAGCAGTGAGTCCTCCTGCAGCGGCTGTCTGTGGCCCCCGCAGCTTCTTTCTGCTCTCCAGGTGACTCTCAGGCAGGGGGAGGGGCCCGTAAGCCCCGCCCACTCCCGATCGCTCTCCGTTTCCGTCCGTCTGTCTGTCTGAATCCACAATGATGGAAACTATCCCAAAATACCTAAATAAAATGAGTTTTGGAGATTTTGGAGATTTTTAATTAAAAGCCTGCAGATATTATAAATAATGTGCATTTGAAAAACATATTGTCGATTTCCTATAAAAGGCATGTAGCTAATTCTTCAGCTAGTAGCCTTGTTGACAGCATTTTCTAATCAATTAAGGAATATTTAGTTCAAATTTAAAAAAAATATCTGGCGATACATTGTTTTCACTGGACAATATGCTTGTAATACCGAAAATTAAATAAAAATATCAAATATAAATATACAATAACTCACTGGCATCCAGCTCCTGGTGAATGTCTCTATTTACAGCAACCTTTTTGTGGGGCTTTTATTCTCCTAAACCCTTCAGTGCAAAGAATGAAAGTGCAGTGTTATTTATAAAAACAAGAAAATCTCATAATAACAGTATTTGTATATATAAATAGAAGAACAGAGACTGAAATATAACTCAGCTGACAAATGTCACATTCCCTGTGCTTTATGAGGAAATGTGGACTTTTCTTCAAATGTTTCTTTTGCTTGTACTTGGAAAACCTCTCTGATCTCCTCTCCCTCTTTCTCACCTTCCACCTCCCCTCTCTGTCTCTCTCACTGACCCCCCTCCCTCTCTTCATACACATGTATGGTTACTTCGCTCGCCCATCCAGCCCTGCCTTCACATGTTAATGAGCCTGCTGCTGAAAGGAAATCCACCTTTAAGGAACACACCCCTCCTTCTCCTCTGCAGACAACAACAAGAAGCTTTATTCTTCTGTTATTCATTTTTCCTTTATACATACAGTCCATCTTCTACCTCATATTGTAACAGTGTACAATATAATTACAATATAATGTGACAAAGACTTACCTCTCTCTCCTGTTTAGTGTATAATCACCTCAATATAGGAATTCTTGTGTTTTTGTTACCTTAGAATGAGCCATTTCCCAGAATGGACAAACCACACTGGCTCTAAGGGCTTTCCTGTTTTTTCACTAGCTTTGCAGCCACCTTAGTTTCTTCTGCATGCTAGGAAGGCAAATTGTATTCAATGTAATGTATTCAAATTGTTGCAACTTCACTGCCAAATCCTACACACTAGTCCTTTAATGCCAACTAAATAAATACATCAATAAATTAATGACAGATTCCTTGTAGCATGCAAAGGGATTTAAAACAGCGATTAGTCTTTATGTTGAGAAATAAAATAGTAATGCTCTATTTTATGGCTCAATAAGTTTCTAATTATTTCCCTAAGAAGTTTTCTGGAATATAATTTTGTACTAATTACAAAGAAAATAGAAAAATTAGAAAAAAAGTTATTTCCAAATTTCTAAGAGACAAGAACAGCTCCATTCAGATACAATTTGCAGAAATTAGATTTGATTGACTAACTAAATGAACAACATTTGAAAAGTCTCCAACTAATCAAAAAAGAGAGACTTTCAAAACTATGACTAAAACAGCTTCCTGTCACTTTCCTGAGTTAAACATGACTCAGTTCTTCATGAGAACACAATGATTCAATTGTTTCCACTCAGTTTGCCTCTCAAAGTGTATGTTATTTTTCCTCACTCATATACAATGTCCATTATGTCACACCCAGACACCAATATAAGGTATATTGGGACTTTGTGTTTGTTTTTATTTTAATTATTAGCTTTGCTTTTGAAAGATAATCAACTGTATTATCAACATGCCAGCTTTCACAAGCACCATACAGAACATGAAGCATAAGACGTAAATCATATGGAAAACCATGAGACATACACAGGCTTTTGGCATTAAGTCTCTACAGTATCTCTTTCTTTGCACATGGAGGACCAGATCATCACCAGACTGTAGTTTTTGTTTCTTGGAGAAAAATGGCGCTCATATCCACATGTTGTGGTACTTCTCAGCAATAATTGTTTTAAGGGAGACAGGTAAAAGCCATAATATAATATGAATAATTGAATAATGAATAATATTTTTGAATAATGAATTACAATCACTTTTTTGTGGCAGGTTTGGGATGTAATTTCAAATTACTTCATTTTATGTGCTTTCTCTATTTTGTCCCTCTATTTTTATGTTTTCTTTTCCATTTTATCCTTTTTTCCCCTTAATTCTAAAAAACTATTAGTCATAAAAAAGCCAGTAAATGTGCAATACGTTCACATGTTAATTGATCTGAAGCTGAGTGAGCAACAGGTTTATCAGTGTGTGTAGAATGGACGAGTGAGAAAAAGAAATTTCTCAACCATTTAAAAAAAAACCTACAGTTCCTTTTTCAGGTTTATCCTTCAACTCTGGCTTCTGGCATAACACCAGGACTGACCCCCTCCCCCTCCACCCAGCTCTGGTTAATCTGCCTCTGCTTTGACCACAAAGGGACAATCAGAGGTGGAAATGGGTATTTTGTAATCTGTGCAGCATCACAATGCAGTCTCATCTCATGCTAATACACAGCAGGGATAGTCAGCAGCAGGAGGGGAAACCTGATCTGAACACAACAGGAAGTCTGCATGTGAAAGCTCTCAGACTGCTGCAGGACACAGAGGGGAAGAGGAAGACACAGATCCATGAAGGAAAGCACAACTTTATCATTATATCATGACAGTGAAAGTCTTTGCCCTGACTGATGCTGGCAGTGGGGATCCAGACTAAAGCACACTCAGCACTGACTCTCAAGTCAGTAGTTTTATCTGAATAATATATTCCAGAATTGGCTGTGAGCAAAAATCTTCTAAAAAGCTTGATAAGAGTAGAAAGTAATTAACTTGTGTTTCACATGTCCAGTTTCAGAGTCCAAAACCAACAATGAATTTATCCATGCTGTAAAACTTCACTGTCATACAAAGTTGTCACTGGAGAGAAAACCTGTAGAGCTCCACAGAGCTGCAGGCTGAGCTGGACCACATGGCTCTGTGTCTCCCTCTGGTGGCTGATTTGTAAAACACATTCAACATAAAACTGTTACTTTGGAAAACATAAAAAGGGTCGGTTCACTAAAATAGGTCAGCATATATCATCTTAAAGGTCCAGTGTGGAGTATTTAGTGGTATCTAGCAGTGAAGCTGCAGATTGCAACCAACTTAATACCACTGACGCCTGTGAGAATGGGCTGTGAAGTGTGTAGGAGAAACTATGGTGGTTGTGAAACTCGCAAAAAAACACGAAAGGCCCTATTTACAGCCAGTGTTTGGTTTGTCTGTTCTCGGCTACTTGCCGGTTCAACATGGCAGACTCCACAGAAGATACGCTGCTCTGTAAATAAAAACGGCTCATTCTAAAGTATCAAAAACAATTTTTAATTTTCAGGTGATTATACACTCATTGAAACATACCTATTAATTTTATATTCCATTTCTGTCAATAGAGAATGCTGAACTTTTTCTTTAAAATGACCTTAACCACTGTAAAACATTTGGCTAGCTGGTATAAAATACAATGAAAGTGCTTCACATAACACAACACAGACATGTTTGTTTTACAAATATGGTTCATAACTTTAATAAATGCAGCTTTATTTTATACATTATCTTTACAACAATGCAGTAAAGATACACATCACTGTACTGTACACTGGCTCTTCATCATCTTACACATCTACACCACTGAACGTGACATTTCTTCATATTACACTTTCTATACATTTAAACAAATTCCTCCTCTTAAAGTGCGTTATATTCCCAGACTGTCACTACCTCATGTGCTCAAGAATGTGTGACAACATGCTCACTGTTTGGTTGATGGGTAGAAATGTGTTTGCTAAATTTACAATTTTTTGGTTGTCTGTTGTTTGGATTCATTAAGCCGTCAAACATCAATCTCAAAATGCGTCTTTGTGGTTTTTTGGGACATTTTCTGTTATCAGCTTCACTTTAACAGTGTTTGTGTTTCTTTGCTACAAACACTACCTTTCTAGCAATAGAGGATAGTTCAGGGGAACCAGCTACAATGGTAAAAGAGACAGAACAGACTAGCCCACATAGAGACAACAATATTACCTTTTCTATGAGGACACCTCCTTGTGTGATAGTTATTATTAATAATTAATAATTATTTTACACTTTAAACAGTTTCATTCAACTTATAAGTGTTGCTGCCTCAAATGGAACTGGAGGTTGTGTTTTCAACAGCGGAATAGGAGTGTTAAGCGTTAAAAATGTTTAAGTTGTAAGAACACAAAAAAACTGCCCGCAAAAGTGATGTGTCCTTGTTTGGTGGTAAATGGCGGTGGTGGTATGATACCTTGCTTTCTATATGAAAAACAACATAGTGCTTTAAGAAATAGTTCCTTCTTTACATTTTATAAAAGAACAAAAAGGGAAACTGTACAACTTTGCTAAGTATGGTGAGACAAAGTTGCAACAGGAAGTTTCTTAACTGTGACGAGATGACAAGCAGTGTAAGGCATTACAATTTGAAATTCCATAACTCCATTACTAATCTAAGTAACGCTCTGGTACTACTTTTGAGCTTTGTCACTGTCTTACCAGGAATTATATGGAGGATATCGGTCCAGGACCTAGCTGCTAGCATGGCGAAGGGGTTTGAGGTAGGGGAAGGTGGTTCTTCTACCAAAAGAGGAGAAAATTGTTCTCCTAAAGTTAGCTTATTTACATGTTGTGTGTCTTTAGCTGGCTTGCTAACTTTACCCATGGGTATGCCTACATTCACATACCTACTACAGTAGGACGACCATATTTTCAAACCGCCGAACCAGGAGGGTGTACCACACACTCATGCACATGCACATGTATGCGCTTATGCACGCACCATAGCCATTTGCAGTCACTGGGGTTAAGCTAGCTGCTGGATGGTCAGTAAAACTGTAGGTGACTGCTTGTTAAACTGCAATGTTGTTCTCTTGAGTAATGAGTAAGTAAGTAAAATTATTAAAGTAAATTACTTTTTACCTTAGGTAATATGTAATAAATTAACAAGTAACCTGTCGTTGGTCTAAACACAGGTAGACATATAAGCACGTCGTCCAATCTTAAATTAGCTAAATTTGGACTGAAATCAGGACCCATCTGCTCAAAGACTAGTCGATGCCAGTTTATGGTTCTACGGACACATTGAGTACCAAGTCTTAAGGTTTGACCCAGACCCTCTGACTTCCCTAGGCGCCGTCATTTTTAAAATGACAATGTACTTCGCAACTCATAACCTTTAGCTTTTAGAAAACTTTAACTTTTCTCTGCTTCTTCTTCTTCTTCTTCCTCCTCCTCCTCCTCCTCTTCTTCTTCTTCTTCTTCTTCTTCTTCAGTGCCTACATCCTTTGCTGCAGTCTTGGTCATCTTCCAGCTCAGAGTCCATTCACCCTTCGGCATACCTTGTTCTTCATGCATCAATCCCATGTACCTCTGACTCCGGTTCTTGGTGGAGAAACACGCCACCTCGTCCTTATCCGGCCTCTTCCACCGACATATCCTCCACGACTCTTTCCAAGCTCGCCACTCCTCCTCTTCCTCCCCCTCCTCCTCATCTTCCTCACCTTCATCTCCTCCTCTGTGAGCCACTGCCACCATCCACGACTGCTTCCAGGAGGAGAAGGAGGCATTGATTTTGTGGAACTGCAGATGGAGTGGGACGTCAGGTTTGCAATTGATTCGTTTCTTTTTCTTTACTACTGTGTTGTCCTCGTCTTTCTTGTCTACTTTTTCGTGGTCATCCTCTGTTTTTGCTGCCATCTCCTCTACTTGAGCGTCTTCTTTGTCAGTATCCTCCTCCTCCTCCTCTACATCTTCATCTTCGTCCTCCTCGTCTTCATCCTCGTCCTCCTCGTCTTCATCCTCATCCTCCTCATCTGCTTCTTCATCCACCTCATTGTCCATTTCTTTGTCCTTTTCATCTTTTTTATCCTCCTTTGCTTTGTCATCCTCGTCCTCCTCATCTGCTTCTTCGTCCTCCTCCTCCTCGTCTATTTCTTCATCCTCTTCCTCCTCATTGTCCCCTCTGTCCTTTTCATCCTTTTTGTCCTCCTCCTCTGCTTTGTCATCGTCTTCCTCCTTGTCTACAACTTCATCCTGGTCCTCCTCATCTACATCTTCGTCCTCCTCATTGTCCACTTTGTTCTTTTCATCTTTTTGGTCCTCCTTTGCTTTGTCATCCTTGTCCTCCTCATCTACACCCTCGTCGTCGTCCTTCTCCTCCTCCTCCTCCTCTTCCTCCTCCTCATTTTCCACTTCTTTTTCCTTTTTATCCTCCTCATCTACTTCTTCATCCTCCTCGTCTGCTTCTTCATCCTCCTCATTGACCACTTCTTTGACATTTTCATCCTTTCTATCCTTCTCATTTACTATGTCTTCTTCCTCTTCATTTATTTTATTGTCCATCTCTTTTTTGGTGTCTTCTTCTCTTTCGTGGTCTTCATCTGCTTCATCTTCATCATCCTCTTCTTCTTCTACACTATCCTCCTCTTCATCTACTTCTTTACTTTTCACCACCTTGTTTACTTTGTCCCCTTTCTTGCCTGCTTTTTCTTTCTCCTCTTTTTTCTCTGCCCATTCTATCTCAAACTCTTTCTCTTCGTCTTCATCCTCCTCCTCCTCGTCTTCATCCTCCTCCTCCTCGTCTTCCTCTACATTTTTGTCTTTGTTCTCGTCTTTTTCTTTGTCCTCCTTCTCCTTGTCTACTTTATCTTGCCAGTCCTTCTTTTTTGCTATTTTGTCCTTCTCCTCCTGTGTGTCCTCATACTCCTCATCTTCTTCCTCCTCCTCCTGTACTTCCACATATTCCTCATTCTCGTCCTCTTCCTCCTCCTCTTCCTCCTCCTCCTCCTCCTCCTCAACTTCTTTGTCTTTCTCTTCTTTGTCTACAACATCTTCCTGGTACTTTTTGTTTGCTATTTTGTCCTTTTCCTCATGTACTTCTTTATTCTCCTCCTCCTCCTCTTCCTCATCACTTTGTTTGTCTTCCTCCTCCTCCTCCTCATCTACATTTTTGTGCTTATTCTCGTCTTTTTCTTCCTCCTCGTTATCTACTTCATCGTTCTTGTCTTTTTGTTTTGCTTCTGTGTCCTCCTCATCTACTTCTTTGTCCTCCTCCTCCTCTTCATCTTCCTCACCATTTTGGTTTATGTTTTTGTCCTCCTGCTCCTTGTGTACATGTTTGCCTCTCTCCTCCTCATGTTCTTTGCCCTCCTCTTTATGCACTTCATTGTTTCCATTCTTCTCCTTTACATCCTCCTCCTCGTCATTCTCCTCCTCCTCTTCTTCTTCTTCCTCGCTTTCCTTCTCCTTATCCAATTCTCTGTCCTTCTTCTTCTTTATCACTGCTTCGTCCTCGTTTACTTCTTTGTCCTTCTCCTTGCTGTCGACCTCTTCGTCCTCTTCTTCGTCCTCATCGACTCCTTCATCTTCCTCCTCCTCACCTTCTTCAACCTCCTCATCCTTCTTATTAATTTCTTTGTCTTCCTCTTCTACACCTTCATCCTCCTCATTTTCCACTCCCTCATCCACGTCCTCTTGTTCCACCTCCTCCTCTTTGTCATCCATCTCCTCTTCCTCCTCCTCGTCTTCCTCTTCTTCCTCCTCTGTGTCATCCATCATCTCCTCCACTTCACCCTCCTCCTGGGTCTTGTCCAGTTCAACCTCTTCTGATTGGATCCATTGTTTAGGAGTCCTCCAGGCCTCCGTCCACTCTGTGCTATCGGGGATCTCATCTTCTAGCTGGGCTGTGAGGAGGAGGTTCAGGGTGTTGCGTCTCCTCGTCAGCATGGCGCTGTGTCGATGATGGGACTCCAGTGAAGCCTCACACCACCTGTGGATACAGTCGTAGGTTCGGTTTTATTTTGGTAGGATCAGTTTGATTGATTCAACCACATCTCACAGCCTCCATCAGAGCCAAGACAACTGAGCCAACAATAGTATTATCTAAGACAGTGTCAAACAAACAAAAACATGTAGAATTTATTTCTCTTTCTATTTCTACTCTCTCTCAATTAAATCATTTTCACTATTGTCCAGTAAAAGGACATTAATTAACTTAGAATCAATAATCAACTGTCAACTGTCATGCATTATTGTAAGACATTTTTCAAATCCGCTTTTAAGTTTTCAAAAATGTTTGCTTAAATTCCACTACTATTTATTTCTTTATTTTCATTTAAAATATCTGGTTGTATAGTAAACTCCTCAACCAAGCACTTTAAAGGCCCTACAAGGAACTTTCATTTGGTGTTGTTTCTGGCGACAGTTTTGTTTGTTTCACATTTGTTTATATAAGTCATAGAGAAGCATCAGTATTAAATTGAGAAAGATTCATATGTAGTTAAAAACTGGTAATACGTAAATCAAGACATGTTGTTTTCAGATAGATTTTAGATAGACAGATTGTATAAACGTTGGACTTGACTTTTGTGTCATGGAATTCCTTTCTTGTTGTTACATAGTAGTACATTAGTAAATATGGGAATATTTGTGCCATCTTAACACCAGAATACTTCTGTACTACTGAGTTATTTGCATTTTTGTTTAGGCTGGTATGCAAAAAACCCAAAATAAACTAACTTTGGTGTTAGTTTTGATTTTTGGACGGTCAGTCAGCCCACCGATACAGTGGCATACTGGTATTTGTCCATTCCAGATTGCAAATCACCAATGCCATCAGATTAACCTAGGCGCACGCTAGAAAAGTGCTTAACAATTTAGGTATGGTTCACTCAACGCCAACCCACCTGATCTGTTGCCTATATCCCCAGCAGGAGCTCCAGTTCTTGTGGCGCTCTTCTGCTTCCTCCAGAGGAGCAGCAGAGAGCAGCCATGAGTCACTCCACCCAGGCAGGAACACGTTGTTTATCCTCATCATCACTGTGGTTTCAGTGCTGAAGAAGCTTGTAGTTATTATATCATCATCTGTGGAGTCTATTGGTTCCAGTTCTGCCCCGGACAGTTTCCACGATTCCTCCCAGTCCAAGGGCTCGTCCTGTTTAATGATCACAACATATATTCTTAAAAATGATAATAAAAATGGGTGTCCTGATTGTTCAGTGGTCATTAGTCATTAGCATCGGGTCTCTGACCTGACATGTATCTATCATTATCAGTTTCTATGTGGCCAACAAAGTTAAAAGAGAAAAACATCAAAGAAACAGTAATTGTAATGATGTTGATCCCCACCTGCTCCTCTAGTTCTTGTACTTCGTCAAACTTGTCGCTGAGGTTTAGTTCGTAATCAGGCCAGGTGCGATCCCACTTCTGTTTCTGCTGTCTGAAAGGAAAGTTTATCCACTTCCAAGTACCAGCCCAGACAGGAAGAGAATAATTTTCTATCTCAGCTTTACGAAACTGTTTCCTTTCAAACAAAATCTTCCACTGGAATTCTTTCTCCTCAGAGCACTCCAACTGTGCTGGACTCTTCACCTGGAAACAAGAACAATGAAGAGGAAAGATAGTTTACAAAGGGTTAATTAGTCACTTTGTACCTACCCCACAAGGGTCTCTGTTCTCTTGTGATCTGGGGAAGTCCTGGATGAATCATCTTGAGATAGATGTTATTTATGAGCTGTACAACAGGTGATTGACAGCTACACAAACCTAGTCCTGACTGGATGAACACACCGCCTGCTATGCTTTATGCATGTATAGTAATGAACCTGTAATTTGTTCTAACTGGAAAACTGATATTTAAACGTACTACATTTTTTTTGTTTTTTACTGGCTATGAAACAGTCTCAATTTAGTACTGATGCCTCAATGTGACATACATAAACAAACAAGACCATCAGTGAGATGGTTATTGAAAGGCTATTTTTCAATGATGACGCCAGGGGTCGGAGCAGAGGAGAGTATCAGTCAATTAAGCATTCTGGTTTCTGTCTGTGTCTATTTTTTAACCTACAACTGAAATGAAAACATTGCAAGCTCAGTGCACGTTTATTGGAGTGAGACCTGTGCAGGTTGCCCCAGCCACACAGCTAATCTGATCTGAGTTTCAGGTAAAGCCAGCATCCTTTTTGTATGTATGGCTTGTTGGTAGCAGGCACAACCATACGACTTATGAGTAATTAAATTACTGTAGGCTAGTTGGTTAATTTCTTCCAAATATGATGCTGGAGTTGTGTAAAGCATTGGACTGGCATGACAGCCGTTGGTTTGACAGGTTTGGATGCCAGAACACTATCTGTCTGAATGCATAGTTTCAATGAAGTACAATCCTAATTCAGCATAAAATAATCTTTAATACAATACTGTGCTTCCAACTGTGTTTGATATTATTCTGTTTCAACATAACAGTGCCCCTGTGCACAAAGCCAGCTCCATACATTTTTTTCTTCCAAGTTTGGAGTGGAAGAACTTGACTGGCCTGCATAGAGACCTGACCTCAACCCCATCCAACACCTTTGGGATGAACTAGAATGCTGACTGCAAGCCAGACTTTGTTCCTGTGGCTGAATGGGAGCGAATTCCAGAAGCCAGGTTTAGAAATCTGCCTGAAAGTCTGAATCTAGAAGAGTGGAGGCTGATGTAACAGTGATTAATGCCCAGGGTTTTGGAATGAGATGCACAACAGTCACAATGGTTGCAATGTTCCTTTGGCCACATTTTTTTTCAGTGTACTGTATGTTGACTGTTCCTTCTATCTCGTCAAGCCAGCAGTTCTGGCAAAATAAATTATTTTGTCCAGTTCAGTCCAGTTCTGCACTGGTACTTTCTGCCTCGAGGAAATAGTCATATGCACAGTCCCACACTGACAAATACTCTCACCTTCTCCCATCTACTATACCAAGGCAACATAACACTCTGAACCTCCCAGCATAGCCAAAAACCTTTCCAGACTCATACACTTTTCCCGAAGCATGGCTGGACCCATATCTGAAAACTGTCTGGCTTTTAGTGTCTTTTAATGTGGAACTATTTGGTTTGTGGTAAGTCTCAGTACCTGTTTCCAGGAATTACGCCATTTCACAGCAGGAGACACCCATTCAGTCTCTGATCCGTACTCCTTTGGTTGGTACTTCCTGTTGTTAGTCAGCTCTATGGTTGTGAATCCTGGGATTCTGGCTTTTGACTCTTTGGCCTTGAGGTAAAGGTACTTTGGAGGCTTCATGCTCATCCAGGACTCCCTCCAACAAAGCCGAAACACATCCACCTCAACTTTGCGTTTCAGCCTATGGGGTTGGGGAGCAGCTTCTTTCTTGGGAGGTGGCGGTGGAGGAGGCTCAGGTTTGGGTTTGGGAGGAGGGGGGACAACTTTGAATTTGATTTTGGGCTTGTTTTTTTCGTCTTCATTTGTGCCGCTGGTAACCTTCTTGAATTCTCCCTTGGAAACAAGTGACCAGTGATAATTCCACTTTGAGTAAGATCTGCAGATTCAAAAAACAAATAAAAAACATGTCAAGTCAAGATTTGTCAGAACGAGTGGACACTGAAAAACATAGCTCTGACAAGTATAGACGAATCTGGCGGCTGGTTAATATTTTGCGCTCTTGCAGTGGCACGGTGTGACTGAACAAAGAGATGTTTAGGTAGTTCATGATCACCAGTAGACACTGTTGTGTATGTAAAGGATTTCTCTATTTAAGAGCTTTTGCCATGAAAACTGTTTAGGAGATCCCATAGGAGACTATATGTTGAAAATGTAAATAAATAAAAAAACGTTTAGTCGAGTATTAACAAACAGCTTCTACATGAAAGTTCAACTTTGGAAAAAATGGAAACTAAAAGCCACAAACATCTACTCAACAAAAGACTGGGCGCAAAGAGATGGTGAGCCGCCACCATCATATATTTATGAAATAATTAATCTCTGAATTTAATGATTTACACTTTAGCATCCACTTTCAAGTTAGACAGTTAGACAGAAGTGGTACGCTTTTGTCCTAACTGATTTACTGTTAACTAATCTACTTCAGCCTACAACCCCGATTTGTCTCTATGGAAGAACACACTGCTCAAATGATGGTTTTCCAAGGTTTCACCACATTGAACATGTACATCCTTGCTAAATTTGCATGTTGCTACTAGGGCTGTTGCGATAACTGCATAAATGACATGCGACATTTTTGAAAAGTCAAGCCACCACTATAAGTTTTAAATTTCTGAATGGGCTAACAAGTATAGCAAAAACCTAAAAACCTTAGAGCCAGTTCACATCCAGGTATTAACATGATTGTAGCCACAGTTTAATATTTAAATCTTGGATTCACTTTGTATTATGCTAAAGTTTTCATCACTGTACAAAGCTATCACCTTACAGCTGTGATACAAAAACAACTCATAGCATCATATATTCTCACATTTTTTTCTCACTTTTCTCCTTCCATTCAGCCTCCTGTTTGCACTGGTCCGCCAAGCTCTGAGCTCTCTTCTCCCATTGGTCTCTCAGCGGCCCGTTGCTGAACGATCTCCGCTCCTCCTTTTTTGACAACATCCTGTTTCCTAAAAGACACACAAACAAGCAATAAACACCAGAAATAGGTTAAGCATGTCACTAATAATGTTAAGTTGCATTTCTACAGTAACTCTTTGTAGCTTGTTGCTGGGAAGGAATCTCCAGACATGTGATACTAATGGGGTCAGTTGATGAACAGAGTTTTGTTCACAAGCATGGGCTTCATCAGCAGAATCATAAATGTGCATAGTCACAATTCCCAACAGCACATGAACACACCACAACACAACAACAGGGGTCAGATTGTTGATGTGTTTCAGTAATGCCTGTGCTGACCACTTTCCAACAATAATATTATATTATGTTATCAATATACAATATTACCCTGCAGGTGTTTCTGTTGAATTTACAACAGTACAAGCATGAAATTGTAGATGTAGTAGACATCTTTAAAGGTCCAGTGAGTAACATTTAGAATAAGAACCATTGTGTTTTTGTTATTTTAGAATGAGATGTTTTCATCTACAGAGGGAGCAGGTCTTCTTCTGGTGGAGTAGTAGTTGAACCACTATACCACTAAATCCTACACACTAGACCCCCAAATTACCTTTGGGATAAATATGTAAATAACAAAAAAATGTTAACTGCTCTGGACAAGTGTCATTTCTGAACACCTCCTGTTTCCTCCTTCTTGCTTTAAAAATATTCTACACTAGACATATAAAACATTAATCATATATATGCAGAATTCACACTAATCTCCAGTATTGATACATACCTACAGTATAATATGAGACAGATAGAGGTTTAGTCCAGTTTTGATCCAGTTCTCAGTGTAGTGTCTTGTTGAAGACTAATCTAACTGGGACACAAGACGACAGGCGTCACTCTATAATTAAAAATAGCTCAGCAGCGTGCTTCACAGAGCAACAACAACAAGAAAGCACCACTGCACAGAGTCTGTAAGATACTGGTTCTATTGGTGGGATGGAGATCTCAAAATGACTATGATGACCATTATTTAATACTGCATTATTATCTACGTTATTATTCAACCTTCTTATTTCTGTCAACTGAATTTAATAATGCGTAATTTTATAAACCATTTTCTCGATTTTCATCTAAACACAAAACTTTTTTGTCTTTATTTGGATGCTTTTTATTAGAAGAAAGCAAACATGTACATCATTAAAATGATAATGTGTATTTGGTCGTCTCTCATTTGGCAATAATCTCAGATGTCAGAGTGTCTTTGAACACACCAACAAAACACTTCCTAGTCTCAAATGTATCACCGTGCAAAGAAAACATACCTTTGACAGGTTGAATTGCCAGTCTGTGATGGATTATTTTATATATTACTAGTCTCTGTTAGTTGATGTGTTTTTATAGAAATTAAGTTGAACCGATATAAATCAATCTGATGAAAGATTTAGGAAATTATCTATAGTTAATGAGCTTGAACAAATAGTATATATGTACTAAAAACATCTTTATGGTCCTTTAAATGACTGTTTTAATACAGACAAGCCATAGAATCAAGGATGTCACAGAGAATGCAGTGTTAAATAAAGGTCACAGCTTTAATCCCTGTCTGTCTGGAAGAAGGACTCTGGGTATTACCACTGTCTATGTTGATAAATGAGTTATCCAAATAACGATGATTTAAAATTAGGAAATGAGCTCAGGCCTCCTCTCACCAGCTGCACACGATGATATTAAAGAAGTCCCAGATAAAAACTGCTGAGAATCAAATAACAGTGACCTGTGAAGTGTTTCTTACAACTACAGATACAGGCCTGAAATGGGTTAACACAGGCAGTGGTGGACTCTGAGGGGCTGGGGCAAAAATTATGATACATTTATGTTGAAAACATCTTAATCAGGATTAGGATTAGCATACTAGAGACCCCCCTGAGACTACCAGTGAACACAATTAAATATATTCCCTCCATTCCCAGGGTCCTATGTTCACTAACATTGTAAGAGATTGGTGAGGGCTATCATCACAGATCAAATAGCAAAAGAATGCTTCAAATGCAGTTTATATAGTGAAAATCTGTTAAGCCACTGTAGAGATATCAATGTCTAAAGTCAAGAAAACTGTCTTTGAAGGAGTAGGTTTCTGGAGGCCTACATCAGTAGGTAGGTGGGTGACTTTCATTCTCACTAGAGTTGGTGGAAGCTTTAGAAATTCAGAAACTACAGTGAGTAGTCTCCTAAAATCTGAATTTCACAGACCATTGTGCTGTCTGCTTTTCTACACCTTGTACCAGTTAGTGGCTAAGATAACAATGCTATATGGCAAAGTAGGTGGGAAAACTGCAGTACATACATACATAGCCATGTAATGTCATTTTATTCACATCAATTGACGCCCATAGCACATATGGGATTAGTTACATGGAAGAATAGACCATTTTCACAGCAGCCATTTTCATATTAAATAGTAGGATAAACACAGGTGTTACCAATGCTACTAATTAAGGTTCCGTTCCATTTAGAGTAGCAGAACCTTTTCAGTTAGACCACATGTAGCAGCACCCTGACTCTGTTTGATCTGAATGGAACAGAACCTTAATTACATACAGAAAAATGATGGGTTAAAAATAACCCAACCGCTGGATCAATATTACACCAGACCAGCAGTAGTTAATTTGACCCAGCAAGATGGGTTGGTCCTTTTTAACCCAACAGATGAGTTAAATATTCTTCAAATTAAATACAATTCTGGGTTGATTCAACTACATATTTGTTATATACTCTACCCAAATGCTGGGTCAAATTAACCAATATGTCAGATTAATTCTAACACATTACAGTACAATTTAAGAAAATAAATTGCAATAGACTACCCATAGCTATAAAACTGTTAAACTACAAACCTATAACAAAATACATGCTAGATTTATGCATATATTTTGCAATAAACACTTAAACAATACTGGAATCTTTGAAAAAAAATATTATTAGAAAATATCAACAATATAGTGGAACTGGAACAGTTCAAATCAGTCAGATAGTAAAACATTCAGTGCAAAACAACAATTATGAATGAACTGGCTGAACATTCAACAGCCAACAGGTCTATAGTGAACATTTTTCAAATTCCTGTTTGCCTGGTATTAAAAAGCTGTCCTTGAGGCCATTAGCTCTAGTTGCAAGCAAGTATTCTAGTTTGAAGAAACTTTACCATTTTGGACTCCCCTCCTGGCATTTCATAGATTACACTCTGTATGAATTCCCACACATGTTCACACTGCTTCGGGTATTTAATGTCTAAGACAAAGAATGCCTTGAAACAGACATCAATGGCCTGAAGCAGTGCTTCTTGTTCCAAGGCCTGTCCAGCTATGATGACGAAGGCCTGAAATGCACTCTGATCATTTCCCAGCGTCAGGATGTAGGGGTATGGTTTGCATGCCTTGGCCTCATGGAGGTACTCCACCATGTTTATTCCAGGCTAAAAAAGAAAGAATGCAAGAGAGCTATAAGATATAGCATAGATTTGATAAATCACTACTTGGTTTTATATTGAAAACATATAACGTTACACATTTTAAATAGCTTACTGTGGAGTGAGGTAATTGAAGAGACAGGAGACAAGATGCGTCGAGTCAACCTAAACAACTGCACTCTAACTGAAACTAACAGTCAACCAACTGTCAACTGGAACTAGTAACCGTTAACCTCTCACAGTATCTATTGTGGGTCACCACATTACTTAAATAAATGCACATAAATGCATTTAGTCAGACATATGAGGTTATCTCACTGTTTTTACATACTTTAATCAGTCAAACACTATGTTATGCCTTCACATTTCACATTAAAAGCTTCAGGAAAAACAAGCACGTTCATTTATAGCAGGTGTTTCGGTTTAAACTGCGTGAACGTGTTGAACGGGGGGACTTGCTCACAGTTTAAGATTATGCTTACGCTAGTTAATACGTCTCCTAAACACAATTGAACCTACATAAATGGTTAGATAGTTAGACATTAAAGACAGATGAAAAGTTATTAACTATAAAGTTCTTTTAGGGAGAACGGCCTCGTGAAAGTCACCAGTTAACACGGTCACCAGTTTAAACCGAAACACCAGCTAGCAAAGGGAACTAAACTGACAGGCTGTTGTCTAGTAAACAGTTAACTGGCGAATCACCTGGCTTAGCTAGCAAACTAGCTGGCAAATTAGCCCTGGTGAACTCAATAAACATGACCATATGCCCATGGGCATTATGAACTTGTTTCATTAATTCATTAATTATTAATTCAGGACCAAACAGATAAGCTGTATCTGTCCTTCCATGATAACAGCTAAATGGCTAGCTACGTTGTTAACCAAACCAACCAAATAGCCTCGGGACAATATAAAGATACTACTTAATAAGTAACGCAACACAGACAATGTGAATTAGATATGTAGTGTGCACAAACTTTTTTTTTATTTGCCTCGAGATGGAGGACCAGTCAGGTTCTCTACTGGTGTGTGGACTCTGGTTGACTCAAGTGTGATGATGTGATGGATGTTCGAAGCACAAACAACCCAGGTGCTGAGTCAACCGATGTATGTTGGGTTGATGGATTTTGACTCAGCACATGAGTTGCACAAAATAACCAATTTCCATATAAAGTAACCCATAATGGGGTAAAACATTTCATAACCCAGCAGTTGGGTAGGATTAAATAACCGCTGTTTTTAGAGAGTAGGCACACCCAGTCTTAGGTTGCTCTGCATGCAAATATTAGAGTATTGCATAATCTTCTATTAATTTGCTATTTTAACATTGTGTTTCTGACATTCTTGATAGGCCTTCCCTGTTTCAGTTGTTTTTTGTTTTTTGTTACCTGGTTAAAAAATGACTGCAGTGCTGCTACTGTGCTCTTTTTCAGCCAAGTTACTCTCCACACAATGCATCTAATGTTATAGTTTTTTTAGTAGACAAAAGCGTGTGCAGTGCTTTATTAATATTATTTGTATTACACACAAACACACACAACACACACACACACACACCACACACACACACTTGAAGCACTCAAAGGT